ATAACCCTACAAGCTGCTGCAGTTTACCCTTTAATAAACTGTCTTAAAGCTTTACCTGTTTTTTCTGGCTGAATTCTGGGTCAGTTTTCTCTCAGCCTAACAGAGGGGAGCTAAAGGGGTCCTTACAGTGTCCCCCTACAAAATAACCATTAACTGGTTCAGAACCACATTGAGAATAAGGCAGGGAACATTCTCATCTACACTATACAGTAGTAGCCATTCAGAATTTCCCTATTTCTCTGATGGGCCCTTGGCTGGTCCCCTACAATTCCTTTTTAAACATCAGTATTTGTACTAAAATGTTCTTTCTGTCAATATTTGTGCACATTAAGATCTAAAGAAAAGTGTCATCTCCTGGTCAGACCCTGTAATTCAGTGAAAGGGTGGAGTTAGTGTAAAAAATATGCAAGAGGGGGGTCACTCCACTGGCTGGAAGATGGAAGGGAGTTTGCTGGGAGCTGCAGGGAAGTGTGCTGCCATTCGGCTGCCGTTTGACTGGGAAGGGCCATTTTCAATGACTGCTGCTGTATAAACTTTCTGAACTGCTGCTACAAACAACCAGCACTGCAATATTAACATCAGAGCTACCTGACTTTTGGGTAACTCTGTCAAGCATCCTTTTTTTAATACAAACATTTGATCCTTCAGAGAGCAGCTATCTCACCATAATGCTTTGTCCAACCTCTGCCTTGATAATGGGCCCAAGGATGCCCAGATGTTCATTCATCTCCCCGCGGCGGTCTAGAGTGGTGAAGCTACTATCCAGGTAACCTCGGAAAACCACCTTGGTGAATTTGGTCTCTCGTTCGTCTTCTCTGGACTTTTCTCTCCTCCTTTAAGAGAAAAAGTTCAATTTAAGATTTTTCAAACTGCATCTTTCATTGATTTTAATCCCCCCTTTTCACAAAATCTTTAACTCCATTCTTTTTTGCAGTTTACCTTTTTCCGTAGCCAGCATAGTCCCATTTGACCTCCTCTGCAGCAATGAAATATGTCCTAACCTCAGGACCTGATAATTTTGAGTAATATTTAGTAGTTTCATCCAAGTTTAGATTCGTGAAGTCCTCTTGACTACTGTAGGGGTCTTTATACATCACATACTCGTACTCGTTTTCTGTTACATCTTGTTCATCAATCTCAAGGTGATCTGGTTCATCTCCAGGAACATAGAGCTGATAGTCACTGAAATCAGGTCGCGGTACACCAATAACCACAGGCGTGTTAATCAATAGCTCCTCATTTGTAACAGGCTGTGGTACATTGGGCCGTGCCCCTCTGGGGCTCAGCCCTGGATGAAATCCTCGGGGGGAAAAAGGTAAACCACTTCTGGCCTGAGGTTTGTATTCCTTCCTCCTCCTTGTTTTCATGCCTTCGCCTTTATTGGGTATTTTTCTGAGATTCAGTTTTTTGTATTTTTTGGGCGGTGGGGTCGTTCGAGGCTCCTTATTATCAAAGTATTTTTTCGTGGAAGCCTCTATTACTTGGCGGGACAATGATTGGTTTGTTTCAACAGCTGTTGCATTTCTATTATTTGTCGTTGTGTTATGGTCATCCACACTTGTCAAATTCTGTGGTATAGTGATGTTAGAGAGACTTTTGTTTAGGTTGGCATTAGAGAGACTGCCGGTTGGGTCGGCATTAGAGGGACTGGTGGTTGGGTCAGCATTAGAGGGACTGACGGTTGGGTCGGCATTAGAGGGACTGACGGTTGGGTCAGCATTAGAGGGACTGACGGTTGGGTCGGCATTAGAGGGACTGACGGTTGGGTCGGCATTAGTAGGATGGTCGGTTGGGTCGGCATTAGAGGGACTGATGGTTGGTTCAGCATCAGAGGGACTGACGGTTGGGTTGGCATTAGAGGGATGGCTGGTTGGGTCAATGCTGGTATCAGACACAGGTCCACTGTAGAAGAACACATCACCCCGGAGGAGTTGTTCCTCAGACTCTTTAGGCAGGAATATGTCCAAAGACGTGTTGCTATTGGCAGCATGATTTGATTCTATTGTTTTACCCTTTGAAGTTAAATTTCCTGACAATATTTTCGTAAGTTCACTATTGTCTTGTGTTTGTATAGTTTTATTGGTAGCCTCTAGTACCATTGTGGATTGATTGTCTGAAGATTGTGTTACCACTGTTAGAATTTTTGGGTCCTTGAGAACTGCTGAACCTGAAGCATTAAGAACTGTTGAGTTCATTATGACAGTATCCTTAGCAGAGTTATTATTGGGATTGGGTCGAACTACAGGGAAAGTGTTGTTTGTTGATGCTGTGCTTTTGTTGCTCTGTAAAACACCTTGGTGAAATGAAACAGTTGAGCTGTAGTCGGTGAATGATTGAGTCAAATTTTGCTTGGCATGTGTTGTATTCGTACTGATGCTGTTGTTCTGCAAGTACGGTTCTGCAATATTTTGATCATCTACCTCTTTTGGTTTGGTATGATTTATTGCGCTCTGATTTGAAAAGGATTCAGTTTCATTATTTTTTGCCTTCAGATCTGTAATAGTATGCTTGTTCACAGGAGGAACATCAACTGCATCATAGTCCAAAAAGCTTAAATCTAATATCTCCACATCCGAGTTACCGGACTGGTTCCTCAGCGAGCGCAGGCCCAACTCCTCTGCAAACATTTCTGTCATGGGATCTATCTCCAGTGGTTTCATAGGTTGAGGTTTAGATTTTTCCTCCTTTTTAATTTCATCATAACTGGGAAGCTTCCATCCATTAAATGCATTATCGAAGTCTGCATCTTTGTCTGGAAAATCATATTCAAGATCCCGATAGCATTCAACATCTTGAAACTTCACACCCATTCCTTTTGTTATTTCTTGCTCATTCAATGAAGCCAAAAGCCAGACACCTGGTGTGAGACATAAATACATACAATGTTCTGAAAAGATTTTTTTTGTTTTTACAAATCAATGTAAAAGTGCATTTTTTGTGACTCACCTATGTTGTCCATTGTAATTTTGATGGTCTCACCAGTCATTGGATAGAGGCTGAGAAAGTCCTCTGTCCTTTGATTCAGCTCGAAAGGATGGCCATAGAAAGTGGCCGTCTGAATGCTGTCCTGTGCTCCAATGCTAGACACATGCCATGTTGCCACCTCGCCATTGCAAAAGCCCAAAACAGGGCCACTCTTAAAGGCATAACCATTTATTGCTTTAGGTGGAGAAAAGATGGGAATTAGTTTACTGAAAAGCAGCTGCAGGAAGCACACAAAAAAATCAGAATAATTTACTTAGTTTTGTAGTAATCTACTACTGAACTTTACCCAAATGGCCATTTCTACAGTAGCAGCCATTCAAAATGGCCCTTCCCAGTCAGACGCCTGCCAAATGGCTGCCCATTTCCCTCCAACACCCAGCAAAATCCCCTCCAACGTCCAGCCAGTGCAGTGACCCCCTGTTGCATATTTTTACTATGACTCCACCCTTTCACTGGATTACAGGGTCTGACCAGGAGATGGCGCTTCTCTTTAGATCTTAATGTCCACAAATCATGACCGAAAGAATATTTTAGTACAAAGATTGATGTTTAAAAAGGAATCGAAGGGGACCAGCCAAAGACCAGCCAAAGACCAACCAAGACCCAGACAGGTACCAGCCAAAGACCAGCCAAGGACCAGCCAAGGGCCAGCTAAGGCCCGGCCAAAGACCATCCAAGGGCCAGCCAAAGACCAGCCAAAGACCAGCCAAGGAACAGCCAAAGACCAGCCAAGAGGCAGCCGAAGACCATCCAAGGGCCAGCCAAAGACCAGCCAAAGACCAGCCAAGGAACAGCCAAAGACCAGCCAAGAGGCAGCCGAAGACCAGCCAAGGGCCAGCGAAAGACCAGCCAAAGACCAGCCAAGGACCAGCCAAGGGCCAGCCAAAGACCAGCCAAGGGCCAGCCAAGGACCAGCCAAGGACCAGCCAAAGACCAGCCAAGGACCAGCCAAGGACCAGTCAAGTACCAGCCAAAGACCAGCCAAGGACCAGCCAAGTACCAGCCAAGAGGCAGCCAAAGACCAGCCAAGAGGCAGCCGAAAACCAGCCAAGGGCCAGCCAAAGACCAGCCAAAGACCAGCCAAGGGCCAGCCAAGGGCCAGCCAAGGGCCAGCCAAGGGCCAGCCGAAGACCAGCCAAGGACCAGCCAAGGGCCAGCCGAAGACCAGCCAAGGGCCAGCCAAGGACCAGCCAAGGACCAGCCAAGGACCAGCCAAAGACCAGCCAAGGACCAGTCAAGTACCAGCCAAAGACCAGCCAAAGACCAGCCAAGTACCATCCAAAGACCAGCCAAGGACCAGCCAAGGACCAGTCAAGGACTAACCAAGGACCAGTCAAGGACTAACCAAGGACCACCCAAAGACCAGCCAAGGACCAGCCAAAGACCAGCCAAGGGCCAGCCAAAGACCAGCCAAAGACCAGCCAAAGACCAGCCAAAGACCAGCCAAGGGCCAGCAAAGGGCCCATCAAGGAAAGTGGGAAAATTTTGAATGGCTACTTCTGTACCTGTCTAAAACTGAGTAATGTCTTAAAATATATTCTCTCCGGCTCAAAATGCTCTGCTGTAAATCATTGGGTTGGAAAATATATTTCTAATGAGTAGACAGAAATATTTCTATGTACATGACATTCTTTGTTTGGAACTTTTGACTATCAGCTACTGATGCTGTAAAATGCAGAGGAGAATAACAGGATCTATGCTGTTAGCTTTGGTGTGTTAAGGGTAAACTCACTGTGCATAACGTTGGACTTGTAAAAGTCTGGGTCGGCTTTGTTGACTTTGGATCGATCGCAATAATGCTGAATGTTGTCTTCCAGATACCAGCTCTTGTTTTCATCAAACACGGAAAACACAGCGTGCTGTTCCTTGTCTGCTCTCAGCTGCAAAAACAAAAAGAAACTTTTTTTTGTCAGTTTCCAACCTTTGCATCTTCTTCAATATCAAAATGTTCATGTTATCAAACCTCATGTCATCTTGATTTGAAGAACATGTCATGAGGTTATGCAAACTTTAAAGGCCGTTCTTTTAAGGGGAACCATTATGCTTGCTTTGAAACCACTTCCAATAAGTCTTTGAGTTATACACAACATTTGCACACAGCCAGGGCCGTACGCAGGGGTCAGGGGTCAGGGGTCACTCAGTTCTAGGAGGGTTCAGCTGCATGCTCCCAGAAATTATTCTTTTAATTCCATTATTTAAATCTGTCCAATTTCAGAGTCTTAAGCAGCAAAAGAAACATCACTCAGATTTTGAAAAGGCTAATTAGTGCATTTCTCTGTTCCTCTTTCCCTGCCAGACATTCCTGGTATTAAAAAGTAGAAACTTGGTCTTCATATCATCTTTCTTTTTAAGCTTCTATCTAGGCGGTTAGAAATGTATCAAAAAAGAGATTCCAGTATAATAAAAAGGAGTTGCTTCAAGGACAAGAACATATTTCTGTTATAATCTTACACAATACTTCAAGTATCATGCAATAAAAATTTGACTTTTAAAAAAACATATAGTTCAGATGCAGTATCTTCCTTTTCTAGTTCCTGCTCTTCCTCTATCTTTCTCCTCACTGCTCCTCCTTACTCCTCCTCCTGCTGTTCAGCCCAAATAGGAGCTTGGTTTTACTCAGCCTTTTCCTCCCAATCCTGTTTTCCCTTTAGTGAAGAATATCAACACAGTCCAGTACTAAAATAATAGAAATTAAACCAATATGCATTTCAGTTTTGTCATTTCAGCTCATTAACATGAAATAAACTTAGTTTTAAGGGTTGCAGAGGAGCCCAATGTCAAAGTGTGGAATAGTAAAAATAGATATGAATAACTTTAAGTATAAATATTAAATAAACAAGATAAAATATGCACATTTACGCAGTTGTATAAGTTCATGAGCTTCTGAGCATCTGAGGTGCTTCAGAAGCAGCAGCTGCTGGAGTTGGAAAAATGTACCTTTAGCTGCTGGACGCGCCGCATTAACCAATCAGAGCAGCTGATCTGGGAGCTGGCAGGGAGTCAGACGCAGCACTGCTGATGCAGAGCGCTATGATCCCTCCTCTGAAACAGTTTATTAACGCCTAAATTAACTTCAAATGTAGAAACCTGCCGGCAGAATATGTTGGCTTTTATTATCCTGCTGCCTGCAGTTTGTAGAACAGACCTGAAAAACGCTAACATCTACTTCCCCCGCCACCAACAGGAGGGGAAAACCCTGGAGAGGCGAGCGGGCCTGAGGCAGCTGATCTTCAAACATAAAACACCTCACAGTCTGTGAGAGACCTAGATCATTGTCCTACAGTCAGTTTCACTGTAATATGATTTAAGTTTATATATCACAATTAAGGCAAAATATGAACAAAAAAATACAGAGGGCATGACCTCGGTTCCCTTTATGGTAGTTTCACATTCAGATTGTACAGAAGTAAAGTGGGCAGTCTGGAATAACGTTCTGGAAACGGTGGAAATGGTCGTGCACGAGTACAGCCCTACCCTCACTACTCATCCGGCGCAACTCTCCAGTCTCCAACGTGGACGCTGTCCACTTCCTGGGCACGATTATTGCTCAGGAGCTCAAGCGGGAGCTGAACGTCACTTCATCTACCAAGAAGGCACAGCAGAGGACGTACTTCCAGCCGCAGCTGAAGAGGTTCAACCAGCCTCAGCCAGCCAACGATGGCGACCTACTGCTCTACCAACACTGAGTCCATCTCTTCTCCTCCATCACCATCTGGTAGCTGCTGCCAAGGTCAGAGTCAGGAGCAAGATGCAGCATGTTACATCTACTGCAGAGAGGGTGACTGGCTGCCCTGTTCAGGAACTGTACACCTCTAGGACCCAGAGGTTAGCCAGTCAGGTTGCAGCTGACTGCCCCAACCAAACACAAACTTTTCTAAATTCTCCAATCAGGCAATCTCGTCTGCGTGTGTGTCGCAGTTAACGCAGATATGCCCCCACTTCCACTCTGGTGCAGTTCCCGAAAATTGTAGGTGACCTCAGACAGTGCCGCAAACAGGAGGCCTCTGATTGGTCGATTCTACATCCGTTCTACTCTATGCGTATTCCCTGTTTGGTACCTAATGGCAGAAACTCTGGCTGTACCTCCGCACACAACACCTGGCACACCTCGGACACTATCCCAGACACCGTGCAGGACGCTAGTTTGTAGCTCTGTGCCAAGTGTTGGGATCCAGAGGTTTGCCCTCCAGAGGGCGATGTGGATCCCTTTCTGAGGGGTTCTACTGTCTGTTGGGATCCAGAGGCTTGCCCACCAGAGGGCGCCGTGGATCCTCTCCTGAGAGCTGGCGCTCATTAGAAGCAGCTGATCCCCATCTGCTGATTAAAGAGCTCTCCCTATATAAGCTGAGTGAGAGCTCCCCTCTGAGCCGGATTGTTGTCCTTGCCATGGAAGCAAACCTGAGCCACCCTGTCTGAACCTGAGAATCTGAAGGTCTGTTTACCTTAACCTGTATCTGAACCTAACCTGCTCTGTCTTCTCTGCCTTCCAGGGCAGAACCCTGTGTGTCTTCAATAAATATTGGACTTTAAACCTGCCAGTGTGTTCTGTGAGTTCTGCATCTGGGCTAGTAAACCTGCTACATCATGACACCAAGGTCTATTGGTTTGCACCCGAAGCCAAAACACGCAGCGCCGGAGAACCCTCGCGGGGGAACTGTGTGTCGTCCGGTGTTAGATGAGGGGTTGTAGACGGCGAACAAGCTCATCAAACCGACACAGGGACACCCACAATCCTAGCTAGTT